TTTCCTACTTCTCTCGTCTCTTTATTACCTCAGATTGTATAGAAGTCTATGAGGAAATGTTCCTACTTTCTCTCTCTCTCTCTCTTTCTTTATTACCTCAGATTTGTAGAGAAGTCTATGAGGAAATGTTCCTACTTCTCTCTTTATTTATTAACTCAGTTAAACATTTTCCCGACAGGTTCATGGTCTCAATCTGTAGTTTAAAGTATTCTTCAATACTGCAAGATGTTCACTTAGTAAATGATGGTTAATTTAGGAGTAAAATTGACGATAAAGCAGTGTAGTTTTAGGGGCGAGGTCATTTACTTTCTAAAGGTTGCTACCACAATGTTGTCCATGTTTTTTGTCTTGCATCTTAACCTTAAAAATTGTTTTTTTCTTCATCAAAAGTGACTTTGCATAACACATCTTGTTCATAGATTGCTCCGGTCTTTCCTGTCACTTCTAGTTGCAAAAGCCAAAAATTTCGCCGGCCAAAACGTCAAACTAATGGGCTCAAAAACTCTAGTCCACAAACCAACTGGTAACCATCACTAAGAATACGTCCACTTCCTATATTAAGTCATCCCACCTCAGACCTCTGGAAATTATGTTGGGAAGGAATATGTAAAATGTTTTCTGTTTCCTTCGCGTCGAAAGGAGCCAGTTGAGGTGGTTCGGGCACCTAGTTAGGATGCCACCGGGCGCTCCCTAGGGAGGTGTTCCAGGCACGTCCAGCTGGAGCTGGAGGACCAAGGGGTAGACTAGAAACCAGGTGGAGGGATGATATCTCTTCGCTGGCCTGGGAGCGCCTGGGATCCCCCGTCAGAGCTGGTTGATGTGGCCAGGGAAAAGAAAGTTTGGGGCTCTCTGCTGGAACTGCTACCTCCGCGACCCGACCACGGATAAGCGGGAGAAGATGGATGGATGGTTTTCTGCAGAAACATGTTTTAACCATGGTTTGTTCTAATACAATGAATATCATATCTACCCAGAGACAGCATGGGAACATTTATCCTATGCCTCTTGGATTAAATACCAAGACCTTCATATTATTTTAATTAAAGGATATGCATGGTTGTAGTTTTGAATGGGGATTCGATATGACCCACCACCAGCATACACAACACCAAAAATAAAAATACAGATATTTTTCCTTGCAATGCACCGCTGGTTGTCAAAAGCAATAAATCAACAATAAACTTGGCCTCCATGTGCTTCTTTGAACATGTCATCTACAGCAAATGGTGCTTGACCACCCAGCAGTTGCCCTATGGAGGGTCTCAACGCTAATGCACAAACAAATACTGTTGTCATTCTTCAGTAACTCTTTTGGGGATGTTTTAGGTTCATTGCGGGCAAATATTTGAAGTAGCGGACCTGGCAATGCTTGTTTACCCTGGACATTTATAATCTGGATATCTATCAAAACCGCTGCTGGTTTATAGTCTGATTTCAAGTCAAGGTTGTGTATTGATTTATGGCTGAGATTCGAGGACAAGTAGCAACCTTGTTCTGCCAGCAGCTGAAAAGAAGGGGCCTATGGGCCTCAGCTGAGGGGCTAAATGTTAAAAAAAAGTGCCCTACCTCCCTCCCACCCATGTGAAAACCATCCCAGAGGTTTGGAAGTGTCTATGAGAAAGTAATGGGAGGAAATAAAGAAAGGCGGTATTGTTAAGGAAAACAAACCTTGCTTCCTTTGTCCTCGTCAGGGATTCCTCTGTGGGAATTACTACCTGGATGTTGGTCATTAACTGCACATCACTATACATTTGACAAAACCAGATAGATTAGATAAGCATTAAGCAGCCCATCTCTCACTTCCAAATATAAGCCAGTGTAACGTCAAGACCAAGCCAATAAAACTATTGTTGCTTTATTCCATTATTATATCCATTATAATGGATTTAGCTTTCGCAACCTCAGCATCAGAAATCAGTTCAATTCAATTGAACTGAATTCAAGATTCAAGGCTTTCATTGTCATTTGTACAGAGCTACAGTGTAGTTGAAAATCTGAGGTCCCAGGCTCCTCCAACAGTGCAACACAATAAAACATAAAATAGTGGAAGTAAATACAATGAAATAGAAGTAGTGCCAAAAGAGTCTACAAGTGATACATCCTTTGTAAGTTGCAAACAGGTGAATGTTAAAGTTGCACAAAATGTTTGACCCCGATAAGCTGGAGTCAGAAGTGCCAACTATCACGCTAAATCTACAAATAGTTTTCTCAAAAGCAAGTGGAGCAAAGCACAGCTACAAGGTGAGTGAATGCCAACTCAGAGGGGGATAAAGTGTGTGGGTGTGCGTGTGCGTGTGTGTGTGTGTGTGTGTGTGTGTGTGTGTGTGTGTGTGTGTGTGTGTGTGTGTGTGTGTGTGTGTGTGTGTGTGTGTCGTTGCTGTTTGGGTTCAGAAGCTGCCATGATGCATTCAATGAAACATCTGTGATGGGAGTTTCCCATTTGATAAACTCAATGACCCACTGGCCTGCAAGTTGTCCAACCCCAGAAGTAAGCTGCTATCCTTTATATGAAACACCTTTATTTATATTTGGGGGAAATAGCAGCCAAGGTTTGACCCTAAAATATTTTGTATCAACAGCAAATCACAGCTAAAGAGTTTCTTCATCTACCGCAGTTTACTACCATGGAATCCATTCGAAGTATGATATCTTACCAAAGTTACTTTTTGTATTTCTTCCAACAATCATAAGCAATCAGTGCGCCTGTAAGCCCCAACAATGCAGAAACTTAAGGATAAAAAACTAGGCAACTTGTTTAGGTTTAGAGAAAACATGGATGTATTAAAATAACTGAATATACAAGTTGCTCGGTGGCATTTAAAGCCAACATTTCTTGACTCTCGAAAATTAAAATTACCAAGATCTTCTCTGGATCTTTCGGAGATCGTCCGTATCCTTTTGGCTCAAGTTAGTTAACTTCAAAGAAAACTATACGCTGATTTGCAGATGTCTCTTTCTCAATGTAAGTGTTTATGACCCAATGGAATCACATATATGACCCAGAAGTTGTAGTACCTAGGTTTAGCCATTACAAAAGTGACTTCAATGCCTAGGAAACTTCATAGGAGTTTGCCAAAAAATGCAAATATGAACTTCGGGTTTCATATGGGAAACAAACATCAGTCAGATTGGTGAAAGTCCAGAGTGTTGGACCTGCCCATTCACATTGGCAGACTTTAGAGCTCTTTATACTACATTGCATACAATATTGAGGTTATATACAAATACTAGAACGTTTTACAGGCGTACAAGAACAGCCCGAGCCATTACAACTTAGCCCTTTAAGGTCTTTCCCATTGTTCAGTGACATGATGTGGTAAAGGAAGAGTTTGTTTCACATTACTATCTGAGAAGTCAGGCCAGTTCCACTTCTGAGACTCATGTAGAAACGTCCTTGAGGGTTTTTTGTGGCTGTCCTGCTCCACGCTGCTTTATGAGAGCACATGCTGTTGTCTTTACGTTGAAACTTTTAACAACATCTCTGCAACCAAGCCTTCAAAGTGACAGCCAGCCTTGAAGTTAATCCTTGGAGTGAAAGCACAGGGTGGGCACAGACTGATGGAATTCGGTTGAGCAAAACAAGGACCAGAAGAAGAAGATTCCAAAGCTAACACTTTCCATTCATCACTAAATCAGTCCGACAGTTGAACCAGTAGCTCAGGGCGAAGAGGTGAGATTAGGAGGCCACAAATCACAGCTAGTAATTCAGAGCACATTAGCAGACAGACGCTGAACTAAAAGACGGTGTTAAGAACAACGTAAATGAAAAACACCTGTTCAGTCCAGGTTTGAAACCCGACCGCAACACCAGAACAAAGTGGTGTGATGGTAGTGATCTAACAAAGTGTGGTGTAAACCTTAAAACACTTCACCGTGCCATCTGAAAAGACCCTCTCAGATGTACTGCTTCTACGGCGGTTCCCACTGGTTAATAAGCGCTGCAGAAACATCTGGGTTCACTGACACAGCCTGTTCGTAAAGGACGCAATCGCCGCCATGTTATCAACAAAACTCATGTACAAGTGAAGATGGATTTGTCTTGTGAATACTCCCCTGACAGGCTTTAGAAAACCAGCCATCTGCCAGGACTCATTCCCTTTAGCATTGTAGTGAACACATTGTTGTGAGAAGCTTGGAGGAAGCCGAGCTAGTTGATAAATGGCTCCGTTAATCTGAAGATATAATATTTACGATGCTGTGATTTCTCTGCATTATTTGCACTCTGTAGTGATATGCTAATAACTTAGTGAAATGAAAACCACTTGGTAATCAAAGAGCTGCCAGGAGAGTAAACCCATCTTCATTAAATCACTAAACTATATTTAAAGTGACTCACATCCTGTATCTTCCAAAATGTGGAGAGTAAAAACACACTGACAGAGATTTGAGCCATTGTCTATGAAATATTAGCTTAACTATCAAAACAAGATAACAAAAAGAGACCAAACGGACAATAATTCATCACAACTGGAGCTCATTTAACTTTAAAACATGGCAAATGTCCAGATGAAGTCCACCAGTAAATTGGCTAAATTCAGAAAACCCCACTTCCTGTCTTCATTTGGCCCACACCAAAAGAACCATGATAATCTGACATGTAAATAAGAGGGATGGAAATTGAACACACCTGTAAATATACATCCTTCCCTTGACAGCTAATATAGCTCAGATATCCTGAGTAAGAGAGAACAGACGCACTTTGAAATGTTTGTTTTTGAAGCGCTCGGGATACAGAAGAGGCTCAGATTTACAGGAGTGAAATGGATTTGGACAGAAAAAGAGAAAGCATGACGGTTTTGAGGAGCAAGAAGAAAGAAAGGACGCACTTTAAAAGGTTAATCGTCTTCATGGACATCAAAGTTAGTCTCTTGCTTGCAGGGTTTCTTTACGTCCATCAAACAAGCTAGTTTTCCAAAGTGGCCTAATGGGAGTTATTATTGCCTTGATGTACTACGAGCTGTCCATTTTTAACAGCTATAACATCACAGTTAAAGGCCAATCTAATTACCTAATTACGTCATTATCTCATCCTATCGTTATGCAAGAAGTGTTGAAAGAAAACGTGAAGACCGTTCAATGCACTTCTAAAAAAGCAGTCCATAGAGACCCTGAATACTTGTTTTGATAGGTGTAAGGCAACCATGTCAACATTGTGAATGATTCCATATAAGATTATTTATTATATGCAAAATAAGGATGTTTTTTAAATAAAGTGACTTACTTAAAGGCTTGGCTTTAAGTTGGCAGTGTCAATCTGTCACGCAAACATATCTTAATTGGTGGATATCTATATACGTTTTCACTTTACTGGGAAAAGTCCATGGACGCGGGAAGGGGGGGGTGCTGAGGGGGCTGCAGCACCCCAGGAAACGATGACCGAAAAGTGCAGAAAACGTTTTCGGACCCTTGCAGCGTAATTCGTTCGTACACAACGCTCCATGAAGAGACACCGGAGGTTGTGATCACCTCGGNACGTGTATGTGTGTGGCTGTACAAAAACGATTGTGGCAAGGCACAATCTTGCTTGCTTAGTAGACAAAACGGGTGTCAGACTATGTGCCATGAGCAGCTTCAGGGACACAAGGACAAATTGGTGAAATAACTGCCTTTTTGTTTTGGCTGATTCAAAAAACCTTAGCCCTACATGACACATGGTGCGACACTCGGCAAGCTTATTGCTCACACTGCAAGTTTTAAAGATGTTAGATATTGAACATTTTGATCAGCTTCTTAATATTCAGGCAAATTTACTACGGTCTTCTTTTCATTGGAACAATCTAAAAATCAAAATATACAAGCTAAATCAAAACAAAACATTTAAATCAGACTGTTTATTGGTATCCTGTTCTTGTAATTGGTGTTTGATGATTTCATTATGTGTTCTTCGTGTCATTATTAAAAAAAAGTGTATTTTGTTGCAGAAAATAACGGTTGCTGAATGCATCGAAACCCAGAGCAAGGCAATGACATTGCTCACAATAGAACAACTCTCCTATTTGCTCAAATTCGCACTTCAAAAGATTAAACAGCCTGGGGTAAGACCTGTAAAGATCCATTGTATGCTGCTTTAATAAGAATAAGAATAAGAATGTGTTTTTTATAAAGCCCCTGAGGCAAATCTGTGATATTGTTAGATAAAAATAGAAATGAATTGACTTTAAGTGACATTTATATTCAAACATAAAAGTCCAGGACATGCATCAGACATCTAACATTGGCTAATGTATGCGTCTCCTTTTTTTTTTTTTTTGTCCTCGGTGAGCAGACTGAACCTTTTCTGAAGCCTGTTTCTCTGGAACAGCACCCGGATTATGCAGAGTACATTTTCCACGCCATGGACCTGTCAACTTTAGAAAAGGTAACTTTGAATTGAAATTAAAACAAACATAGAACCATTCTTAGGCTCCGATTTTATAATGAATACTTATTTTCTTTAATCTTGTTTTTTTTCTCTTTTTAATAGAATATCAAAAAGAAAATGTATGGCTGCACTGAAGCCTTTCTTGCTGACATGAAATGGATTTTACACAACTGCATAATCTATAACGGAGGTAAGCTAATTTCATATACCACGAATCACCCTATTCAACACATTTAAACCATTAAATTAAGATGGTGATTTGATTCCAGGCAATCACAAATTAACAGCAACTGCTAAAGTCATCATCAAGATTTGTGAACATGAGGTAAGGAGCTTTACTAATTTAATAGTTGCAAATATTCCATAAATATTTGTGCTTTAATCATTAATTGGATATCTGTTTTCCATTTTCTACATATTTTTTAGATGAATGAGATTGAAGTGTGTCCAGAGTGCTACCTGTCTTCATGCCAAAAAAGAGACAACTGGTTTTGTGAGCCATGTGTAGGTCCTTACATCTTGAGCAGTATATGAATACAGTTAAGTTCTGAATTTAGAGATGTCAGGCACTGACTTATCCTGCTTTGTCCCCAATAGAGTCCACCCCACCCTCTGGTCTGGGCTAAGCTAAAGGGCTTTCCCTTCTGGCCAGCAAAAGCACTTAGAGAAAAGGACGGGCAGGTAGATGCACGTTTCTTCGGGCAACATGACAGGTAAGAGAAGCGTTTCAGCATTGTCGAGGAACTTTGCTCTATGTATATGAATTTGGGAAACATCTAAAGCCCAGATAAACATCCCGGTTATTCTAATTTTTTAATTGTGCTTGTATGTAGGGCCTGGGTACCCATCAACAACTGCTACCTCATGTCCAAAGAGATCCCTTTCTCTGTGAAGAAGACAAAGAGCATTTTCAACAGTGCCATGCAGGAGATGGAAGTCTATGTGGAAAACATTAGCAAGAAATTTGGGGTCTTCAACTATGCACCCTTCCGGACTCCCTACACGCCCAACAACCAGCTACAGATGCTGCTGGACCCCTCCAACCCCAGTGCTGGGACAGTGAAGACAGAGAAACAAGACAAACTCCGCTTCAACTTCGATATAACTGCGTCTCCTAAAATGGTCCTGGGCAAGAGTTCCACACCCAGTGGCATGAGCCGGAGGGTCTCAATGACAGACATGCCTCGGTCTCCCATGAGCACCAACTCCTCGGTTCACACGGGGTCGGATGGGGAGCAGGAAATGGAAAAGCACAGCAGGAATCCCGGCTTCCACTACAGCACTGGAGAGGAGTCAATGGACTGTACTGGTAATTACATGTTAAAGGGACTATAATCTATTTTTTATATGAGCAATTTATCAAAGATATTTCAAAACAGCGTGTTGGTAGCAAGATACTACAAATCTCCAAAATAAATGCATTCATCAGGTGGCTAGAAACACATCTTAGAATGGAGGATGATGTTGCTCTATAACTGCTGTGATTATTAACCAGACAAGCCATGAAGTTCAAATGTTCAATAAGCAACTCTTTGTCATGAGTGGAATGATGGCATTTTTTAAACAATTTTTAACATTTGTAATTACAGCATCTCCTATGTCAGGGAAGATGGGTCCTGCAGGCAGCCCGAAGCCCTTTAACCCTGGACTAGTGCCCAAGCAGGAGAGGACTGCAGGGACAGGCGGTATCCTCAATCTAAACCTGGGTCAGTACCAACAGTAACTGTAATCATGTTATCATGAAGACCAATATTAAACACATCATCATCATCATTATTGCGCTCATGTTGTGCTTAAACTGAACATTTACCTCTGTCTCCTCAGACCGGGTGAAGGCTGAGATGGATCTGAAGGAGCTGAGTGAGACCGTGCAACAACAACAACAACAGCAGCAGCAGCAACAACAACAGGGGGGCTCAGCTTCCCTCCCCACCCCAAAGAGGTCCATCAGGAGCCTGGACAAGACCATTGAGAGTTGCAAGGCACAGCTCGGTACATACACAATTACCTTTGGGATATTTTAAGCACAGAGCTTTATTCTTTTACTCAACAAGAACAATATTTCAGTTTTTGTGTAGTCTATTAGCAAGAAGAATGTTTTATTTATAGTTTGAATATGATATATATGCAATATTTCATGGGATACATTTGGGAGGATTTACCCAAAAAACATAAAACAAGAATCTTTCAGAGATACTGTGACTGCTACTGATTTAGTACTGGTGTCAGGCTACTACCAAAGAAAATGATCTTATATTCTTTATTACACAGTCTGACGGAGACAAAGTACACCGTTCTTTGCTATACTTTTAAAGTAGTTAAGAATATTCGCTTCTCCATACAGGTATAGATGAGATCTCTGAAGACGTATACAAAGGTGTGGATCACAGCGACTCAGAGGACTCTGAGAAATCGGACTCAAGTGACAGCGAGTATCTCAGCGACGAGGAACACAAGCCAAAGATCTCCGCCCAGGACGACAAGGACAAAGCAGAGAGAAAAAGGCCCAAAGCAAGCGCCGACGGAGAGAGTAAGGAGGGAGTTACGAGGACAGTGGATAAAGCCACTCCTGAACCCATGCTCAAAGACAAGCACGGTAACAACGGCCTAGTGAGGGACCTCCAGGAGAAGCCCAGAACGCTTCAGCCTCTCGCTGACAAACCCAAAGCCCCAGAGGAGGGCAGAGGAGCTGCTGCCACATCATCAGCTGAGCAGGACTCTGACTCTGAAAGAGAGCTGGTGATCGACCTGGGAGACGAACATGGAGGCCGCGACTCAAAGAGGGCGAGGAGAGAGCCAGGAGCCAAAACTCTCAAAGAGCCCAATGTCGCCAAGCTGGAAGGTGAGGCCTTATAGATAGCTATCTTGTCCTCAGGCTAATGTCTGAGCCAGTTGGTCCTGTTTTTCTTATTTATACATTCCGTGTATTAGTGATGTGCGTTTGGTAAATTGCAATCGATAACTTATGGTCCCCCTTTTCTTAAAAATACTATTTATAAAATGTCTTTATTCTCAAACAAACAACCTTTATCAGAAATATAAATTGTCAAATTACAAAATTCGCACAAATCTGGCAAACGGTTAACCTTTCCGAAATTCGTGAAACATACGTTTTAAATACTAAAAGTATTCTGTTATCTCTCAGTGCAGCTCATGTTGGAGCCACAAAGGCTTTATCCAACAATCTTTAGACATGGACATTGAAAATGTACACGGGAACTCTTATCTATTTTACTCATTACAAATAATATCCTGTTAATTTAATTGTTGGTCTTCAAAAGTGGCTCCAAGTCTAGTTCCTCAATCAACCCTGTTGGGTTTAAATTGACCACAGTAGAAATCCATAATGCCTCACACTTATGGAGAAATATTATTTTATTTTTGCTCAGGTAAACTGTCTTCATCAGCTGCAGCATCTGCTCCATCACGGGAGGCCGCCTCTAACCTAAAAGACTCTTTACAACCGGCCATCACAGCAGCCCTCAACCTTGTTTCCACTGCAGCTTCTGGTCAGCCCAGTGCTGCCACAGCCTCCAGTGGATCCACCAGTGCACCCTCTCCTGCCACCTCGGCCTCCACAACATCGCCAGTACCTGCAGCTGTAAAGAAACAGCGCCCTCTACTGCCTAAAGAAGCCGCTCAGGCCGTGCAGAAGGCGGTGGTTTGGAATCCAACCAAGTTCCAGACGTCCTCTCAGAAGTGGCACATGCAGAAGGTTCAGAGGCAGCAGCAGCATGAGGAGCCGGCAGCCGTGCAGTCCCCGGCTCAGAGTCCGGGGCAAACACAAAGCCCACAGCAGCTGCAGAACTCCTCAAGTACCCGCTATCAGACCCGACAGGCAGCCAAGGGTATATACACCAGCATAATCATTCACCTGAACATTACACCAAAAATAATGAGATATAAGAGGATAAAAAGATGATTGATTTCCCTTTTCTATCCTCTACTCCCTACAGGGCAAAAGGACGTACCTCAGAGTACTTCCTTGTCGACAGCTGCCCAGGTCACAGGGAGCTCCTCTTCTTTCAGTTCAGGAGACGTGCAGATCCCTACAGGCTCAGCCGATGTGGCTGCTGACATAACCAAATACACAAACAAAGTAATTTTGACAATTTTACTTCATATTAATAATATAACTTCTCTGCCACCTTCACTTTAACTGTGTACTAATATCAAAATGTTCCTAAATCTTGCAGATGATGGATTCGATAAAAGGGACAATGACTGAAATCTACAACGATCTGTCCAAAAGCACATCAGGAAACACCATTGCTGAGGTAAATTCACGGCATATAGACCAATGCTTGTCATGCAAATACTTGGCAAGTTTTAATCTCTGTTTATTTTTGCCACAGATCCGGCGGTTAAGAATAGAGATTGAGAAGCTGCAGTGGCTGCATCAACAAGAGTTGTCTGAGATGAAACACAATCTTGGTAAGATTCTAGCAATATGTCGTCACACCTCTGAGAGTGGATTTACTACTGAATCAGTCTTTTCATCAATATTTTATGAATACTGTTTTTTGTGTCTTTCTTAAATGTAGAACTGACAATGGCAGAGATGAGGCAGAGTCTCGAGCAGGAAAGAGAACGTTTGGTGGCGGAGGTAAAAAAGCAGACAGAGTTGGAAAAGCAGCAAGCGGTGGACGAGACCAAAAAGAAACAGTGGTGCGCTAACTGCAGGAAGGAGGCCATCTTCTACTGCTGCTGGAACACCAGTTACTGCGATTACCCCTGCCAGCAAGCACACTGGCCTGAACACATGAAGTCCTGCACGCAGTCAGGTAGGCAAGCATGGATGATCCAAAATGGAAGTTTCAGCCACAAACACAATACGGACGGTGTTAAAGTAAGAGATTTAATATCAGTAAACACAATAAAATCAGAAATATAATGCACATTCAAGTTTTGTCTAACCTTTTAAAAAGTACTGGTAATAATAATCAACATATATATTTTTAGAATCGTACTTCAATGGCCCTCATTGGAACTTCTATTTTATCTCTGTCATTCTTCCTAAAAACTAATCGCAAATTGTCACGTATTCACCAATTCCTATCATCCTGAGCTCATCCTGAGCACTCATTAGTTAAAAGGCCTTTCAAACCTACTGAAAAGAGTACAGTGTCGGCTTGCAATAACAAATACAGATAGCTTACCTCATCATTATTTTTTTATAGACAGTCTTGCCACTGACGCAAGCTGTGGGGTAAGAGGCAAATTCTGCAGACATCACAAACACATATACAGTACATTGTCAATGTTCTCATTTTTATATTTTATTTTTTCTTCCAGCCTCAGCTTCTCAGCAGGAACCAGAAGCAGAGTCAAACTCCATCCCTTCAGTGAAATCCACAGGCCAATCTCCTCCTGCCACACAGACCCTGACCCCAGGAGCAGGATCCATATCGGACAAAAGCAACTCTCCCACACTTATTGACAAGAGCAAGGACAGTGCTGGCGTTACTGTGACCTAACTGCTACACTACAGATACTCTCGCACACCTTGCATTAACGCTGTGGGGCTTTTTACATCAGACATGTGGCGTCAAACTTGGTGCTGGAAGGCCTTTGTGACAAATCACTTTGATTTTTCCATTCCCATGTGTACATCTGCTTGGTGGACTTTTTTTTATGTTTGGTTCATCTCTCATTCACAGTTTCCATAAGTCGGTGATCAGGTGGATTCACCATGTGAAAGTAGTCTGTCTTGAGAACTAAAATGTGAGATTATACGTTTTCATACTGTAGTTATGTTATAGCTCTGTTACCACTTTGTTTCAACTCTGAACAAGATTGTATCAACCAGCAGAATATTTACACTTCTCAATGCTGCTCTTAGTATTTCACAGCTGTTGTATTTCTTTGAATGGTCTTCATATAATGAGACAAAAACAGCTATTGATAGATATTCATTAATCATTGTGCCATCACAGGTATTTTGAGTTATGCAAGTTCCACCTTTGTTTTAAACCATGTCCGCTTCATGTCATTTAAGATTTTTTGATTAATGCAATGGTAAAAATTATATTTGCAACTATGTCCTCTTCACGTCAGCTGGGGCATTTTTGGCTCATACCAATTTTGTATTGTTGTTCCACATTGTATAGAAAACCTACATAAAAATATCTGTGATTTATAAAAAAAAAAACTAAGACGTGTAAACTGTACAAAGTTTTGTAAGAAAGTACCTGGACAATATTTATAGTGTTATATGTTTTTATAGTATGTTTAAGTAAATCACATTTCTATGTGTCTAAAAAAAAAAGTTATTTGAAAATAAATTACTTCATAATATGAATGTCAGCTCTGAGCGAAGCCTCTGTTTATAACTGATTCTCCAAAGCTGATCCGACTGTCTATAAGAAGGTGGAAAGATAGAAACTGCATTTGGCTGGATATTATTTCCTGTGAGCATGTCTGTTTTGGGCTTGTGTTCGTGTTTACATATTGTACATAAAATAAATGGACTTGTGAAGAAAAAATAAAAGTGCTCTGATCAACCTAACACTGTATGTGCCCCTTGATCATTTAAAATTCTTTATATGGACATTTATATTCCAAACATTCAATCAATTGAAACATTCACTGATTGACTCTTGAGTCTTAAAAAAAATGTTAATAATTCAAATATATGAATAATCAGTGGTATTTTATTCAAACATATACTTTCTATATATACCTATACAAGCAAATGATTGGATAAACAATTATTTAAATAAAGTAATACAAAACATGTTTGGGGGGTAAATGAATAGAAAGTAACAAGTAAAACAAGTCGAACGTTTCTGTCCCAATATTTCACTATTTTTGTTTATTTAAAAAAAAACTCAAGGTGAGTTTCACATGTGTTAATGTTAATATATCTAATATAAATTGAATAGCACTTGAAATGTTTTGGCTCTATGAAACCTGATGTACTTATATGATTCTGTTTTCTTCAAGTTTGTATCTTATTGGTCCAACACACTTATTGTAAGTCGCTTTGGATAAAAGCATCACATCAACTAAATGCAATAATGTAATGTAAGATGATCGATGGCTATGCCATATTTGCGTCTGAACCTTGACAAGTGCATGTTTCAGGCTTATCAATGAACAACAGGAGGGGTCACAGACATAAGACCAGCTGTTAAATAAAGCTCTTCTGACCTTAGCTGGCATGTGGGTATATATTAATGCTGCCCATTATGGGCACAAGCAATTTTCACCCATTTATTAATTATATGTTTTAAATTTGAGTGTTTCCTATCCCCTAAACCTCCAGGGATGAACACAGTTTAATACTGGCAACTTCTTATTATGGGAAATACGAAAACGTCTTTTAGAACTACAATTCCCAGTAGAGACGTGCCATAGAGCATGTTGCGAAACACACAATAGCCAGCATGTGTAGTTCTGGGGGACGGGGTGACGTCAAAATACGAATATCTTAGTCTTGTAAATTTCCCTGTGTCGGTGTAACATATAATTGGGATACCTATCTGCATTGTAGTAGCAACAATAGCAAAATTAAGGTAACCCTTCTGTCAATCTGGGTCTGTTTCGGCTTCCATTCGGGTACATCGCAACTACTTCCGTGGATCGCGGATGACACCAACTACTTGCAAAAAACAGAAACTATTAGCGCGTCAAAATTAGAAGTCACACTTCCACCCGTGGCAATCTACATACACAGAAATGTTAGTATTTGCTACAAAAACCTAACGTGATCCTATCATCATGCAGTTCCTCAATCCTCACTAAAAGCCACGTCATTTCTCCATGGCAGTAAAAAGCTAGCCGCCGCTTAAGTCCTCCGAGTGACAATCGTAACACGAAAAAAAAATTTTGTTTTACTTTTTCTAGTCATTTACTCAAAAAAGGGCAATTATTACGCTTCAAATGTTTATATTCAAGGAACTGTTAACAAAGGACGTTTACTGCGCTAAGCCGGGACTTGGCCAGGCACCGGAATTCTCCGATTCTTGTTTCCTGTCATTTTTTTTTCGTACACCGAAGCTCCGAACTTAGCGGTCACGTTCTATGTTGCAACCAAGGGGTTTTCACCCGACTCGGCATCAAAAACGGGGTCTTACTACGTACCAATGAGGGTACATTACATCTGTTATTAAAAAGGCATTGACGTGGACAAGGGGAGGAGACGGGGGAGGGGGGTGCCTTGAGTTGCAAAGGTTTCTTATACATGTAAGATTGTGAACTTGGAGTTGCGTGTGTAGTGCTACCGTTATACACCCACATTACAAACATTTTAATTGTTGTCCTACATGCCAATACTACGTATTAGTATCAATCAATAATAATATTATCATACGGTTATAACCTACTATCAGTAAAAAAACCACAACTGACTTTATTTGTAACCCAGTTTTAATGGGCGCTTGTGGTTACTTGCCATTGTAGAAACTTGGTTGTGTGTCCCAACTTATTTTTTCTGCAGGAGGGACCTGCAATTCTTGAGTCCGTGATCCTCCAAACTGGTAACGTGCCTGGTTCCTCTGGTCTCCATTTCATAACCATTTATGGAATCAAAAGGTTTTCGTTTCCGTTTACTTTTTTTGTCAGTGATACTTAGACACATTCTCTGTTTTGGAATGGTAGTCCGTTATTGCTGGTTTTGCGTATCTGGACTCTGTAGCCTGTTTCTGGTTTTGGTTTGACTTGTTCCTTGTGACCCTCTGTCCCCTTTAATTTGTGCACTGTTATTTCTGTGTCCACCCCTTGTTAGTCCCCGCTCTGACCTGCGACTACTATGTCTTGTGTCTTCCCTACTGTACGACTTTTGTTAAGTCCTTTAATTTTTGTGCGCGGGTTTCCCTTTGATTGGTGTCTGTCCTATTTGGTGCCTCTTTCTTGGTCTGTATGTGTACTTTCTTTGTAACTGTTCTCTGTCTTTGTGGGTGATGGTCTGTGTGTTTTGTTTTTGCACTGTGTTGTGTTTTCTAGTTACTGTGGACTCCTTTATATACAACCAATGTAAACCATAACGTTTAAGAACGTTTACAAAATCATTTTTGTATAAAAATAACAAACACGAAAATAAACTGTGGCACAGTGGAGTATCAATGAACATTCAGGAAATTATCAAGACGGATTTGCATTACTGCAACTCAGAAGTTCGGTGACGCCGGGAAAGATCTCTCTATCTTATGACCCGTTACTCGTTGGTCCCTTTTATCAGTTTGTCGATTGAAACAATTGTTATGGGATATCACCATGATTTTTCTTGTGGTTGCAAATGGTTATTAAGTTCACGTGTGTATTCATGAAGGATGTCAGTAACGAAACGTAAAGTTAAATTTTCAGTGTGTCTTTCAAATCAAAGCTCTAGTGTGAGTTATTTAGGTCATTGAACTATTAGGTAGGCCCCTCCGACGTGTAGGTCCGACGGCGAACTACGTCTGTTACCGACACGTTAATTTAGGAGTCTGGCACCAGGCTCAGTTGTTAAGTATTTGGTCTCGGTAGGTACTGGTCATTATTCGGGACCACGTATTGTTTCTCAGACGTAATTTGTCTCTTACAACTCAACTGTGTACTCCCCGCCGAGTGACGAAGTGTCTGATTAACGGAGAGTAATCATACTTTCGCACTGTACTACGGCAACATAGTCGTTCCGCCCACCTTGGCAGATTGACATACACCACGCTGGCGGTGGGGAGATAGAAAAGCACAAAGTAAAAAAAAGACATGTATTGAGGAGCACGAACTAAATATCCTAAGTACATCCGGTTCAGTTCATTATTATAAGAGAGGGCGAAGCGAACTGTTGGTAACTATCGGGAGTTTCGAGATACTACCTAAAACTCACACGGGCTCCAATGGGCTGCAGCTTGTTGTGAAACTTTACCCTCCTTGGTTCGTCTACAGGTTCTTGACC